TAGGGAAAGTTTGCAGCATAGAGAAGAAAGGGCTGAGATTTTCCATGTGTAGAGAAAGGAAGACAGGAGAAATACAAGAGTGTCTTGGAAGCACATGTATAGCTTTCTTCCCTGTACTCAGTTTTTAATGAAATCTTCATTTAAAACATGACCAGAATGCTTGTCCTTTCTGTTCGAAAAGTGCTCATGTCAGCTCATGAGCTCCACAGTCCTATGAAGTAGGTGGAAAAAAAATTAAGAAACAGGCCAATAGACCAACATGCAGCATCATCTGTTGGAGATGGCAATGCACATTTTTACTGGAGTTCTCTAGACTTCTCTAAGTGAAGCAGAGCATGGTCCTATGGTGGCATCATTGAGGTGAGAAGGTGGTCAGGCAAGCCAGCCCATGAGTCAGTTGCCTATACATTCCTGATTCCATCAATCTTATCAAGGTAATTTTTCAACGTATTAGCTCCTCATTTCCAAGGTTATCTCTCCCTACGGACAACTGGCGGAGGAAAGAAGTCTGGTGACTGGTTTCTATCGCGAGTAGATCAGAAGAAAGGCCCCTCAGATCAGTTTCGTAGTCAGCAAGGGTTCAATGCTCATAGAGGACACCATTAAATTCCCACAACCCTGCACAAAGCACATGCATTCTTCAACTTGAATTTCTCATCCTTTACCTCCTTTTAATCTGTGGCCAGCCTTCTCAGTGCTCTTCTCTGCTATGTGACTCTAATTTTTCATTAGTGATAAAACATTTGAGGCCACGGCTTGAAATCATGAGTCCAGCTCAATTTTCTTCCCACTCTTAGTGTGTGGCTATAAACCTCAAGACAGCAGGCCTCTAAAAAGGCATAATCCATTTATTAAGCCATCAGCTATATACTATCATAGGAACTAAAGTTTCTACGCACAGGAATTAGCCCTGGAAGGAAGGGGAGACAAAATGGAATCTTACAGGTGGTTCAAGGTTTTGTGGTATTCTAGTATATCAAGTCAAGAAAAGTTCATCCCATGTAGGGAGTGGAAAAAGCTTAGCAGAGAGTGCACTCTGGCTCTGTGACTCCGACATGCAGGTGCAGATGGCTCCATGTGTTTTGGGGACGCCAGACATGAACAGTATATGAGGCTCTGAGCCAAAGCACTACTGATGGTATTAACACTTCTTTAAAGTCCTGGAAACAGCCTGTGAATCATTCCTCCCACTTCCTAGAGCTTGTAAAAAGTCACAGGAAACAAATTAGGCCTACATTTCTTATAACTATAAATACTATTGTTTTCAAGTTATAGCATTACTGATGTGGAAAATGCTCAACCCCCCTCAAGGAGTCCACATAGTTACAAAGCAGTTGTTTACGCCCAACATCTGTGGATGCACAAGTCTGCGCCAAAGTCATCAAGAAAACATATATACACACAGTATATATTATATATACACACACATTTGACTATGTAAGAGATAACATGATAATCCTTTTACATACCATTCTTTATCTTATTCACCTAAGTTCGGCACTGTGACTGATTCTTATGTGTTCAGTGTAAAATGAGGTCTGTATAGTTCGCAACATTTTACATTCCGTGGTGCAGGGACATTCATATCAGGTTACCAAATGAATTCCTTTGTTCAAGGACTTCACATTCTGACACTTATGTTTCACTTAAAGAAATCCATTTAAGAAAAGTTACATACCGTTTCATTTAATGCATTAATTGTTTCACGTAGTGTAGCTTCACTGAGTGCTGTCCTTCTAGAGAGTACTTCTTCATGCTTACAGCTGTATCTCCAGGTGACATCAACAACCTCAAGCACAAGTTGAAGAATAAAATAAGGCAACCAAAAATTCCCATGTATCTTGCTTCATTTAAAGACGCTAGCTCATCAAAGTATTTTTTTCTGTAATAATTCTAGAAATCACACTAAGATGGAATACATCACACACTTGCCTTAGGGCAAGTTTGGTTTTTATTAACATCATCACTCCTACCTCATCTTTGGAGAATGCAATTATGTAGGAGAGCTTCTTTCCCCACCCAGTTTCATAGAGAAGAGGTTTATCACAGACATTTTCACAGGGATCACAGTGAAGCCATCTTTTCTGAGATGAAGAATATACTTCAGTCCACACATGATCTATATAACAAAGGCCAAGAATAAACAATGAATTCTAAGGATAGATCCTCTCTTCTAATATCACAGAATATTGTAACTTTTCCTGATTTATTAAATGAAGGAACATTGAAAGAACATGTTTTCTGTTCATCTACATTCAGAAAAGTTACCAGAGCTTTCTCTTTCTATTTTAGGATTATGTTCCCTTAGATTCAACTAAAGATTGTATCATTCTTAAATCAATCATCTAACCTTACTTACAGAACTATATTTCATCTTATTATGGAAGACAGGAAATTGAATTTATATTATCTTTGTTTGCTGAACTGCATAACTTCATATGCTGTCTGATGGCTAATATAATCTGAGACCCATAAAATATATAACCTCATTTTGCATAGGTTTGTATTAACATTAAGATATTCTAGAATATTAATACCTGTACAGTCCCAGACATATCTAGCTTCAAACCCTACAGCTCTGCAACACAGTGTAAAACAGTTAGCCCACTCGCCACAGCGTCCGCATCTGGTTTCCAGAAGTTTTTCAGGGTTATTATACCTACAGGAGGAAAACAAAACAAAACCAGAATAACTGAAAATACATTTCACCTTTCAAAATCTTTACATCATGCCTGTCCTTGCGATGATTTGAACAGATTGCAGTGCCATTCAGTCTACAGAAGACAATGGAAATGATTGCTGTACTGCACAAAACAAGTGCGAGCAGAATGCTACTTTTACTTTGACTCATAGGACTCCATCACACTTATCACAGCACTGAAATGAATCTGTTTTTTTCAGCTTTCAAAATTGAACTTAGACTTCATCTTCAAACATGATCTTTGTATGCTGCTCCTTTTGATAGTTAGCAAAAATATAAAAAAATTGGATATTTGCTCTTTTGCTGTAGACTCAGCAAAAGATGTGCATTACCCTTTGTGATTTCCCATAGAAGTGAAAGTTTTCCTTGAAATACCAAAACCTACCTACATACTATGCCAATATCAACATATTTTATTTAGAAGTTGTACTTCATCAAATTAACAGTAAAAAAAAAAGAAAATCAGACAACTATTCAGAAAAAGGCCATGTAAAAGAAAGCAATATTTTGTTTTTAAAAATCTCTAATCTTATAGAGCAATTGCTGGTTCATCAACCATCCTATCATGTTGCTTAAAACAGCTTCTCTAATCTCATCCAATAGCTTCTCACTTGTTCACAAAACGCACAAATGCAAAGCTGTTTCTGGAAAGACGAGGAAAAAAAAGACAAAGCAAATCTTTATATGCTCACCTTGGGAATCTATTACATAACTGACACTGGTTGCAGTAATGATTTTCCACTCGACTGGCACTCCACCTTAGATCGTCATCAGTAGGCAACAGGTAGTCACTTTTAGGCTCTGTCTGCCCACCACACCTGCTGCAAGGAAGATTATTTACCCAATGAAAAAAGTCATTCTTAAACCAGTCCAAGAGCTCCAACAACAAGAAGTCCTCTTCATTCACATGTGCACCTGTAAAATTTACACCACAGTTAGGTCAAATGAAAAAATAATTTAGTTGAACTTTCCAGTATCTACATAAATCACCATCTCTGGGCTTTTACTACATTTTAGAAGTCTCATTATAAAAAAAGCTTCATATGTTACTTAAGCACACACAAAAAAGAAAATTAAATTCTCAAGACTGAATAATGTCAAACTGTATATCTAAAGAACAAAGAACTGCACTCCTAAACACTACAGCTAGAGTGAGAATAAGGAACTGCTCAGAAAAACAAGTTAGATATACAGTGAAGCCTGGTGAAGTTCCTCATGTTCCTCATATTCTTCCAGGGCTTCAGAAGAGAGAGTTTTAATTCTTTTTCTGCTCCTAAATATTCTTTTCATATTCTTAGCTATTTATCTAGAAATAACAATTACTTTGATTTCATAATCCCAAAGAACCACACACTGGCAGCAGTCTAGACAATGAGCTGTAATATAACAGACTTTCTACAAACACAGCTTAATTATTGTAGAACATGTACATATACCACATGAACAAAGTTGAGTTTGTTTGTAAATTCAGCAAATAAACACCTTTGTCAGCTTACCCAAGCTAGACACAGGATGGCATTGCTTTTCTACTCTAGCCAATTCCACCACACTAGACCACCAGACTCTTCTGGGCCATTTTCCTGTGTTCACAACAGGTGTTAGAATCTACTCACACACTGTCACTATTCCACCACCTGGAAATAACCCCACTTTACCTAATTAACAAATTTAAAAATCCAGTCTTCCAAAAGAGATCCATCCCTTCTAACTCTTTATATATTCTGCTCCGGTGCCCAGAGTGATACTCTTCCTTCTCAGATTCACAAACATTCAAATAAGTCCTCCTATTAACTCCATCATCTAGGCCACACTGCAATCATAGATATTAATACCTTATTATATGTACTGCAGCTTGCTTGTAGTCACAGTGCAGACAGTTCTGACTAATGAATATGACAATACAAAAATAATTTATAAAAATGCTGTTTAAAGGAAGTTGCACCAAATTTGTGCACTAGCTCCTTTTTCAGGACAGCAAAGAAAGACTAGGTAAGATGTATGTTTTACTTATTTAAGCTCAATTCACATCCTCCTCTGAAGCTGAAGTAGTCTTTGGTACAAAAGACTCTGTGGGGGCCCTAACTCTATTAAACACACATTGCCAAGACCATGAAGTGCATGAGAAAAGATCATCTGTTAATCAAAGCAAGAAAACCTGACTTTTAATTGTAGTAAAATTTCCATTTTTACTTATGTGAAAAACATTTGTGCTGAAACACTCAGACAAGGTGGATATGCTTGTATATTCGAACTTGCTGCTAAAAACTGAATGAGAAGATCTCGAGCACAGGCCATATTCTCTTCGTGGATAATAACAGACAAACCAGAACCCATCTATGAAAATATGACTGCTATCATATGAATAGTCTTCTCTTGCTTTGTAAAATAAACCCTTCATGAAAACACTGCATGGAAAAAACGATGAATGTGACTTATTTGAACAGAAAACAGTTGGCTGTGACGCAGCTATTTTTGACTGCACAATCCATCTTTCTAATGGAAATTGGTAAAGGGAAACAGTAAAAAAAAGTCTGTACTTCTGATCAAATGACCATAATCTTCCTAGCCTTTATGAGCCAAAAATGCCTATTATGCATTGTAAGGGAAGTCCTAAAAACAAGTGTCCCCCAGCACTAAGCTGTTATTCCCACAGGTGACAGTCTTAACACAGCAATACAGATAAATCAAAGAACCTGAAAGGGCCAATTACCCATATATCTCGTACACAGTCCATTCCCAAAGGAATGTTTCTATAAAGCTCTTTAAAAATGCTTTCAACCTGTCACAATCCAGAACAGTGGAGTTCTATCCCTTCCCCTTTATTTGTATCTAAATTAAGGTCTGGAAGCCATTTTGATTAGACCAGCTTGAAGGTTTGAGAAGAAGCACCTCGATACACCACCCTCCTCCTTCCTTCCCCTTTTTAATAATATGCACAGCAGAATTAGAGCAGAATCTAAGAGGTAGGCTTGCCTTTATTTTCCTTTTTAAAGGAATTTAAATAGTTTTCATTTATTACTGCTAAGTCTTTTTTCCCCATTGCATTGTCCTACACTGCTGAATGAGAATGCTTTGTAGTTCCTTATGTGGTTTCCTACTTCCCAGTATAGCTTTATAAAAAGAGAAAAATTACTAAGAAAATCCATTATCAAAGAGTTCCCTAATGCCAAAGGCACAATTTGTGTGTGGCTGTATGAGACATCACAAAGTCATTTATAAAAAAAAAAAAATGAGCTTTTTTTGGTTTGCAAATAGACAGCACTCCCATCAAGTTAGCAGAATTGCTTCAAACAGAGTCTTCTATCAAAGATTTACAGTGAAAAGGATTTTTTGGTTTAAATATGGTCTTGGAATAGTTTTTTTTTAATATTTATCTTGTACAAGTAAAATTTCACTATATTGCTGAAACAAATCTAAAACTGTCACTTGAAAATAGAAATATGTCATTTTTAACTGACAGAGATTTTGTACATTCAAAACGAATTTGCATTTATGAAGAAAATATACATTTTAGCCACTGATGCCACAAATATTTATGCCTCTATTTCACTTCTAGCTCCAAGAGGATGGCATGTGAACAACCCTATTCATTTAAGCATTAGCAAGAAGGTGATTCTTTGTTATCAGGTTGTGTCTTCGAAAGGTCTCATGCAAAATTTCACCAATAGTATCACTTTAAAAAGAGAAGCAGGATTTTGAAATTTTATTCTGAATTTGGAATTGTAATATATATGGTAAAATTGCACTCTGACAATTTCAGAACAATGACTGTTCAAACAAGAAGCTCCCTTCCTCTTGTTGTAGCTATTTCATGCTAGATGCAAGGAATACAACAGTACATGCTCACCTCATTTATTTCCCCAGCATTGTTTACTACTAATTCAGAAATTAAGAGTTCATAATTTCTACTTGAAAGCAGTAAAGGACGGATAACAAAAATGAAACAAAAAAATAACAGAAGTAAGGAGAGAGAAGAATAGAAAATTTGAAAATTAGGAAGGAGGTAATTCTAATTTAGAGACAGCAGGAACCTGCAGACACATGACCAAATCCACACACCTAAAGCACAGTAGATATATACATCATCCAGATGCTTGAAAGAATATTTCCAGTTTCTAGTACAACTTGGTAGCATTACCTTTGTCCAGTCTTGTAGCTTGTGCTAGCTTTTTTTGAGCCTTCCCTTTCAATTGCTGGAGAGGAATTGAAGCTAGTGCTTTCTGTTGAATAGAAGGATTCTCATACATCAATACGAGATGCTCAAATTTTGTTTGAAGTGTTTCCAAGATATTTGCAGCCTGCGAAAGGATTTTCAGTCACAAGGTTATTTATGAACTTCCACCTTAAGCCAGAAGAACCAAGCTCTCCTATTTTAGTTTCAGTCAGTCATATCATAGTTACAACATATATTTCTTTACAGGTGAAATGTTTATTTGTAAAGATATTAATAAAAATTGCAGACACCACCACCCAAACCGTAAAGCCAGCCTTGTCATCTTTGAGCATTCTGAACAGTGTCCTGAGTAAAAAGTATACTGATTCAGGGAGAAGAGAAAACTGTTTTTAAAGACACCTCTGATGGCAAAGTTTTTTTACTTACCCCCCCCCCGCCGCCTCCCCCATTTCTTTTGGGCACCTGAAATCCACAAAAGAACCTGTAATTCATTCATTTCCCTAGAAACTGCTGCACAAGTTCACAGAACTCTATTACTGATGAATGCTGCTTTGTTATTTCTTATTCATGAAGGCTGCTTGTCTATTTCTACTTCCTTCTCTCACAGATCCACTCTGATACAGATTTGAATAGATAGCCCTGTGACCATAAACTGAACAGTGTATTTCACTAGAAATTGGATATAAGAACTAGGCTTCTTCAGTCAGTTATCCTGTGTTGCTTAGTGGCAACTACATGTTGCACCCAATAAGGTACACCCGTATCTACCAAAATAAATAGCTAAAGTTAACTATAGTGGAGTTAGTAGCTGAGCAAACTATTTACTCCCATTTAAAGGGGGACAACACAGAAAGTGAAATGGAATTTTAAAATTAAGAGTCTGGCATATTTTGGGGGGGAAGCCTGTGGCACTGCTAAATTACCTTTTCTCTCATGCTAGATCATGCTTCAGTCTTTAGCCTTATTAACTACCATCTTTGTTTCATCAAAAATTCCGCACTTCCCCGAGATGCTAGCAGCAAATGCAACATAATACACAGGTGTAAGAACTTTTCAGAAGATAACTTCTTTCAAAGGAATATTTAAATTAGGAGTGATTATTTTTGATACTGAACAGTACTACAGGACCAGTTCTTACTTTTCATAACTGCTGAAACAGAAGAGAACTGGTTTCGCTCTTCCTGGAGCTCATCAGCTGTAGGTAACTGGTTTAACATCATAAACCCAATTGTGTTCAGATTCACTTCAACGAAAGTTGAAAGAACAGAAATAAGGGAAGTTAGGGACTGCCAGTGGCTTATAGATCTTCATGTTCTGTCAGCTTCCTAAAAGAGTGTTCAAAGATATTTCTCAGCACAGCAGAAAGTCTCCCAGATTCTTTGACTATTCAGATTTTCCCACTGCCAAACACCATCAGTGTTACATTAGCACTTAACCAGTTTCGTGGAAGCCACTGTATACCAATGAAACCTTATGCAAACATCTAGAAGTGTGGTGAATCTCACTGCAAATCTAAGTTTGGATACCTCTTTCCTCCTATAATCACTGTGTCATCCAGGAAGGGATCAGAGTCCATCCACCAGAATAATGGTTAGCCAGAGCCTTCCTTTCTCCAAGTCTCAAGAATACCTTACACTAAGAAATGCAGAAGAGACACAGATGAAGCAAAATAATGATGGGTTAGGTCCCTAGAACTGTGCCATTTAGGAATATTCCTGTGCTGTCACAAGTAAGCCACTTTTCCCTGTGCTTTCCAGGACTCCCATGAATCACAGGTGTAATGCACAGGCAAGAAATAAAAATGCTTGCACTACAAAAACCACTCTAGATCTCTCTGACATCTGACAGCAGCACATACAACAGTAATAAAACTATATGTCTGCAGGATACTCACTGGAAAACAAAACACCTACTGCTGTGCAAGCAAAATGGCCAAGTCATAGCCAGAAGGTATTTTATAGACTTCCTTCCAATCAACCCAGACTACATAGACCAAATTCAATGACTCAGAGAGCTATCAGTATAATTCCCTGAAGAGATCAGCTGAAATACAGCATTCTAATATAGTGCCAACACTGCATTAGCAATGTCTCTAAATTGTAATCAGTTTGGTCCCATCACCCATGTTGAATCTCAAGAAGCATGGAAAAATAATAGTTGCACAGAAATGGATCCACAACTCTGATGGCTAGCATAAGTCAGGGCAGAATAACTACAAATGAGAAGGATTAACCTTAGAACACATTGTGTCAACTTGAAATCTGCAACATTTTTCTCATAGCAAGATCAATGCAACTTTCAAAGCTTTAAACCTTCCAGTGCTAACCAGTACTGCAGCAAGTCACTCTAGAGGTTTCATAATCACTTCCAACCACTATTGCAGAAGTGGCTGGAACAGTAAAGACCAAGAAGCAGACCAAAAAAAAGCCTCAAAAACCCAAACAAATTCAAATAATCCCAGTCATTATATTTTAGAGGCAACTACTAGCATGCTAGCATAATTAGATTAAATATTCAAGTGCCTACAACCATTCCTTTCCCAAAAGACATTATGGGTCATGATGGGTCACTGAGTGCTCTCCCTCCCCAAAAGCCATCACTTCAATCTATGCTTTGTCATTTCTCTTCCACCGATCTTGGGTAGGTATTGGGAAGAAATAGTATGTCATAGTTCAGTATCCAACAATATACTGACAATATCATTTAAAAGAGACAAACTCTGTTTAAGGATGTATGAGAAGCGAGCTTTTGGAAGGATTCATCTTACACCAGCTTTAAGACCGAAGTGACACTGGTTCTAGGGGGAAAAACTCTTTAGAAAGTTAAACCAAAGCATCCTTCAAACCTTTTATCAAAAGGCATAACTTCATTTTTCAAAATTGTATGAGGTGTTAAGAGTCTTCTCCCATCAGGCCAGGTAACATCAGATGAAATGATTCTATCCCTCTGTCTTGATAAGCAACTTCATCTCAACCTCTTGGATGAGGGAAACACAGCCTAAATAACTATAGATTTGTCCTTGCCTGGCTAAATTCCTGTCTCTTGCAACAGTCGCATGTGAAAGAAGAAAGCCCTCCTCACAGGCTACACACAGAGGTCATAATGCATGAACCGAGATGCCAACAGTTATAAACATTATGGTTGTGCTCCTGTTCTTTTGCTGGCTCTCAAATACCGAACACAGTATACATCCCTAGTCTTAGCTTCCCGCCCCTCCCTCTGTTCCCGTACCTTGCTGTTCTCTTACAAATCAGCTTTTTTTTTTTTCTCACGACACCGTGATCAGTAAAACATTTATGGACATCTTCAACAAAATCTCTTGCTAATATTCTATTCATGGCATGTTTCATGTTGAAGTTGTATGGACACTGAAGAAAACACTCAAAAATTTCAGGAACGGTTGGAAAAAAGAAAATTCCTCTAGTCCAACCTCCTGCTCAAAGCAGGGTTAGCTATGAGATCAGACCAAGTTGCTCTGGACTTTATCCAGTCAGGTCTTGAAAATGCCCACATTTGGAGACTACACAGCCTCTCTGAGCAACCTATCCCAACAGTTAACTCTTTGTCAACCTTTATATTCAAGATTAGTGTGCCTACAAAGTTTTCAGGTTATCATTACCATTTCAAGAGATTGCACAAGTGATGGTTCTCGTTGCTGACGGGCAGGGGCAAGAACAGAGTCAGCAGGTCTTGAAGGCTGATGTGCAACCATCTGAGTGCTGGCCACAGTTTCAGAGGATCCCGATCTGTGGATTTCATTTGACTCATTCAGTCTGCTACTCCTCTCTCCAGCAATTAAGTCTCTGATTTTACGTAGCTGCTCAATTGAAGCTTCCTTAGGGAAAACCAGGTGAGTTTCTCCCTGAAATTTAGACAAATTAATTCAGCAGTTAATGCAGGTCTAAGCTAGTCAGCAGTTTGTATCTATAGCTAACAGCTGTATCATTGACCAAAAGTTAGCATGCTAAGGCTTGGCAGGATTCAGCCTTCAGATTAGGTCCCTCACAGCAGAAGCTATTAGATCAAGAACCTACAGTCAGTCTAGAGAAAAAGGGCTCATAACAACATGCTTTTGTTAGTAACTTATTTTGCAGAGCCACACATGGACAACGCAATTATGGTTTGGCAGAGAAAGCAGCAACAACAGAAGTGAACAACAAATGCTCAGTTCTCACAGTACAGCAGTGAAATGCTAGGCAACACAGGAGGATAGCCAATGTTGGGGGAAGAAGCCTCTAAAATGGCATCTGCTGGGAATTCTCTTCTATACTGATATCTTTTAGGTTTTATAACTTTTCAGATAGGAAATATTATTCTTATTGAGACCTGTACCCAGCTTGATTTCTGGGTTCCTATTTTTGATTGTAACATGATTACCGGTAGCATAACAAAAGATTAGTAATTAGGACAGAAGAAAGTAACAGTGTACTTAACATGAAGAAATAGGTTACTAAAAAGGTGAATATCCTGAAGCATTCATACTTCAAGAGTTTCAGTTTCTACCACTGCAGCACTTCTATTTATTAAACTAATTTGTTTATCCACAGTTACCTTAGGTCAGCTATTATTGCAGACACAGTGCTTCACTTTAACACTTACAATGACCACAAAACTAAATGGAATGTATCCATCCAGCAGAAGAGTCCCCACTTTTTAATTTAAATAGTTGGCTTACCAAGCAGAGACAAAAGAAGGAAGAATTTTAGTTATTGCAGTTGAAGAGAAGTTTGTGAGCTCCAGCCTCAATTGACACAATAACCATAAGACTGAGCCACCATGCTCTTAAAGATCTGACAGAAGTGGGAGTAGCACTTTATAACATGGTTAAAATGACTATGTTATTACTGCTTGAGTGCTTCACTAGCTACACTTGACTATCTCTTGGCTAAAACACATCATTAAAAGTCATCTCCTGAGCAACAGCACGAGAATAAATCCGCAGACCATTCCTCCCTCTGCAGTCACCATTTCTTTCAGCATACTTTTTTTTTTTTTTAAATTAGGACAATTACACTAATTAACTTTACCCAAAGAGAAGTTAGAGGTCTCAGGACAGATGGACCTAAATAACAATGTATGTACCCATACACAAGTGTGGCATCAAATGGAGAAAATAAAGCAAAGCTAGAGCAAGAGCTTTGCACCACTAAACAAGATTCGGGTTTTCACCCCAGCTCTCCTGTAATTACAAAGGCTGCTTCTAGCCTAACAAACTTTTGCAGTTTAAGTTCTACCAACACAGGGACCATTTCAGGACACAAGACAATCTTTGAAATACATCTTTTTGACTGCAACAGAATCAAGATTCACTCAAAACTATTTTAGGATACAGTTTCGTAACTGTTTTAAATGGGCAAAAGTCCCATCCTCCTACTACTTCAACAGTCTGCTGCCCTCCACTGCTGTCATGACAACACTAGTACTTCTGCAGCTGCACTGTGAGTTGGCTGAAAAATATTTCTTTTTTTTTGTTTTGGGGGATTAATTTTTAATCAGATCAGTTTCCCTTATCTAACTCGCTATGGGGCCACACAAGCTCTACTGCTGGTAGGAACAAGCAGCAGAAGAGCAGGACTTTTTTTTGTTCCCTTCCAAATGACGGTTTCAATGCATAGATTTACAATATGGAAACTACAGTCTGATGATGCAGTCTGATGTGCACCTAATAGTGAGCTGCTACTAAGAGAAGGGGTTTTCACCCCGTTTCCCACCGTTTCCTTTGTGCCAGCATGGATGCGTATCTGGCCATTAAGCAAACTAGAAGCGTGCCTGAACACCAGAAAACCAATCTTATCACAGATCAGCTTGGCTCTAGCTCCACCAGATTTCTGAAGTAGCCTCACCTACGTTTTCTGTTAGTTAACTGCAGATATTTGCAAACAAGGACTGAAAGAAAATTAAGAAAATACCAATTGGCTTAAAATCTAAATTGAAACTTAAATTGGCCTTGCAACCGGGAAAGGAGAAAAAAAAATCCAATTTTAAGTTTTAGTATGTAAACTGATAAAGACATCAGAAATGGCTAAATTATACTCACCTCTTGAAAACCCATCTCAAACAAACATTCAACTGCTCCTCTGACAGGCAACAGCCTCGTGGAAAATGCTGGATTTCCAATCCGAATTAATCTATATTTTTCTTCATATGGATTCCTGAAAAGATTGAAAGTTTTAATTATGTTTCCAAATTAAGTAAACACTTAAAAGCTGAGTAACTGTACTAAGCAGCATTAGTCATTCATAAGAGATTTTTTAAAAGTTTAGTTTCATTCACACCATGTAGGCAGAACGTGAAACCTATCTAAAACTTTGACTTAATTCATGTCCTTCTGCATTTAGCTTTGGGAGTTACAAAATTGGTTCTAACTTTGAGTTCGCAGCTTAAGTTCATAAATATGTGTTTTGTAGTCCTAGCCAGCAGGGCTTAGTCTGCAATGACACTTATAGACAACTCCACGCTCGTCCCCTTGCCCCGTAGCATTCCAATTGGACTCCCCAGTGTAATCCTGGATGGTTTTAGACCCACTACGGAAGCTATGCTAGACTTCCTGCTACGTGGGTGAAACAACTGTGGTCTCTTTACTTCTTGAAGGGCTACTTCTCAGTTCCCCTTTCAACTCTTCTAAACCTTCTCTTGCCTCTTTCTTTACAAGGAGTCAGCCCGGGACCCGCTGTTCTCTGTCACACAGCGCAGTTTTTGCAAGTGGTTGAGAAACCAGATATAGAGAGGGAGGGGCAGCTCGTACATCTTGAGTTGCTCAAAGACATCAAGGTCAATCATACATGTTGGCGTGTATATATACTCTACAGAGCCACCTTGCAAAAAATCAACTGTAATTAACTCTTGATACCAAACTTAATGAGTCAGAAGGGAAAGGCAACAGAAAAATCAAGTTACTATTTTAGCATTACTTGTTACGCATCCACTAATTTTTAGGTGCTTAACTGCTTGCAGAATGAGGGCCGATGCAGGCTTTTATGTTCAACACAAAAAACAAGCCCTGAAAACAAACCAACCAGCAATAAACAAAGAAATAAAAATCCGAGTCACTACACGCTTAGGTGAAAAAAAAACCAAACCCAAACAACTTATTATTTTTAAATAATGACGAAAAGAAGCGAGATGTTGTCGATATTGCATAACAAAACCGAATCCTATGGCTCGTCTTCGAGACGGTCTGTCTGGAAGCCCAGGAGTAAATCGCTGCGTGTGAGCATTTTATGATAAATCGCTTCTCAGGCGGCATTAGTAACCCGCCAGGACCGGCCAGGTTCACACGCGGACCCCGTTTTCCCGACGACCCGCCAGACAACGCGCAGGACTCGCCGTCGCCGCCCGCCCGGTGCCCGCAGATCCCTTCCGCACCCCCGCACAGTCGAGACCGGCGAGTCACGGCCCTGAACCGGCCGCTGGCCGCACGGCGGGACGGACCCCGACCCCTCCGGG